TATAATGATAAGTTAAGTATAAAATAAATTGTAATCATATTTTCTAGATATCTTAATAAATATAAAAGGTAAATTTGCTTTATTTTATTTTATTAATTCATATAATTTTATTTTACTAGAAATTTTCAAAATATTAACATCAGTTAAACAATTAATATATTCTTTTTTAAGTTTAATATTTAACTCAATATTATAAAAACTAAGATTGCATATCTAAAATTTGGTAAAATATTTAAACTTTAGTTTTGTTAATTTTTTACTAAAGTTTTAATATGATTTCATATTTACATAATTTTACTTCTTTTAGAATTTTGTAAATTTTTAATAAATTTTAATATAATTTTATTAAATTTTATCTTTTTTATTTAAATGACTCATAAAACTTCTAATATCTTTAATAATATATATGAATTTTTACTGATCTATAGTATTTTTTAATAATAGTATAGTCAACTCTTAATATAGCAAACTCTTGATATAATGAATTTTTTGAACAAATATAATAAAAATACTCTTGTTATAGCAAATTGGCCAATTAAATCTCTTAAAATCTTCACTATAATCTTATAGCAAAGTTAAAGTCTAAGACATAGAGTTTATTATAATAAGAGTTAACTGTATAAAGATTATTAAAAAGATCTTAATTATAAATTATCATATTGTTAAAATAGCTTAAAATTTTAAATAACTTTAGAAATATTATTTCAAATATTAGTATTTGCTTATTTTCTCTCTTTTGATATAAGTATTTTGATTAATAGATTTTATATAAAAAAAAGAATTTAAAAATAACCTTACCATTAAGAGAATACATTCTAGAGAATATATTATTTATAATTTTACATTTAAATATAATTCATAATATAATGTAAATAATAATATGAATTAATTAAAAAACTTTTAGCCTAGTTAAAACTTTATTTTTTTGTAAATTTTCAAATTTAATATTATAAATAATTAGGAATGCTAATGGTTATAATCATGATTAATCATAATCAATCATAACTGTAACTGATATTAATTAGTTAAAGACTTCTGATTAATCAGTTGACTAACTGATTTTGATTGATTTTAACTGACTGATTGTTTGACTGACTTGAGACTTAACATCCATATTTTAAATAATAAAAATATCTTATATTAAATTAACAAATCAACATTTTTTTTTTAATTATCTATAAATTAAAATTTTGAAATTTTTAAAGTCTGTAATAATGTTATATTATTAAATAAAAATAATAAAATAATTTTAAAATAATGATATGTTAGAATTATTAAAGCAAAAATTAAAGTTATAATATTTGATTAAATTAAAATTTCTATAAGTCAAACTGTTTAATTATATTATTATTAACTAGAAAGTCAACAATTTTGACTAATTACAATAACTGTTATTATCTTTATAAATAATAATTATAAAAGGTAATATTTGCTAGTAATTTATATAATATATTATTTTTTCTTTAATATTTATTTATTCTTTCTTATTTAAACTTTTTTTCTGATTATTTTTATTTTATTATTTTTTTATTTTATTTTTTAAATTAAAATGTAATAAAAATTAAAAATTATTAAAAAAATTCTTAAAACCTGATTTTTCTAACAATCTTTCCAAATAAAGTAACTGCTATTTTAATAAATTATAATTAGTTTTCTTAAGTTTTTATTGTAATATTTTTGTCAAAAGTAAAATATTTAAAGTATTTACAGATATAATAATACAGTCAACTCTCTTTATAATCACCCTATATATAATAATATTTCTTCTTATAAACATATATTTATTAGTTAAAATTATTAATAAACTTATAATAAAAACTTCTTTTTAGTTATATTATATAATATTTTTTATAATTATATTATTTTTTTCAATTTTTAAGAATATGATTTTATAGGAGGTAATCTTTATAATTAATTTTGATAATATCAAAATTTTATTACATCAGTTTGATATTTATTATAAATTATTAATAAAATAATTATATCTATCAAAATACATTCATTTGTTAAAATACAATTTAATTAGTAATTTGTCAATTTACATGTAATATAGTCAATTATGCTTTATAAAAATATGGAAATATTATGATTAATCTTATTTTGATAGATTTAGGTTTTTTTTATATTTGAAATTTTAATAGTTTTCTGTTTATAATCAAGTCATTTATAAGTAAAAAAAAAGGTTCAGGTTTATAAGTTATTTAAACTTTGAATGCAATCTAACCTTTATATAATTTGTATACATCAAATGATAGATTTATATCAAATAAGAAAATCAGGTAATGATTTTATATATCAATCTTTTTTGCCTATATCATATTATTTAATATATAAAATATTTAATTTTGATGATATAATTTTTATAAATATATATAATATTTAATATTTAAAAATTAATAATATATATAATTTAGATATCTAACAATTTTTAATAATATAAAAAGAATAAAAATATCAAAATTTAGCTTTTATAAAGAAAATGATTTTATCAAAAAAATTTGAACTTTTGTTCTTGGATAAATTAGTTAATTTTTAAAACAGATATTTTCTACATAAAATTTTAATAAATTTGATGAAAATCTTTACATTTAAGGAATAATGTTTTATTTTTTAAAAGAATATTTAATAATAGAAATCAATCATTTATAATGGATTTAAAGGATTATATTATTTTTTGGAAATTAATAAAAACAGCCGGTCAACTGACTTTTAGACGGTTAGTTAACCGGTTAAAAATTTTTAATGACGGTTCCAAATATTGGGATCCCCAGTATTTACTTTGTTGTACGAGTCAACCCCTAGGAAATTTGTTGTTATATTCTGAGAATGGAAACACAAGATTTCCGAAAACTTAATCCTGGTTTATAGCATTTGATTAAATATTTTTTTAACTTATTTTTATTAATAGGTTCAAGAAACATTTAAATGATTAAAACAGGATATATGGATTTAAATGGAGGGATATGGTCATCATAAATTATTTAATTGTATTATTCAATGTGAACAAAAAGATATTCGAGATTTTATTAACGACTTCTATTTAAAATACTAAAGCTTCTAAAAAGTCAAAAAATGTAAAAATTAGATACAATGGAATAAGAAACAATAAATTATTTTATAAGAAAACATCGATTTGATTGGTTAATAATTTTTTTTGTCATTTTAGAAATGACAAAGTAATTATAAAAATGTAACATCAACTAAAAAAAAGAAGAATGAAAAAGTTAAAAAAAAAAAAGAAAATTACTTGTGAATGGCGTATGAAAAATTTGTTACCTTAACCATATATTGTTACCTAATAATAAACAAACTTCTATAACGAGATTTATGTTCAATTAAAATGATAATCCGAATACATTTCCGCATAATTAGACATAAGTAGTTTAAGTTGACGTTTTGAATTAATGCAATATGTATTGATATTACTATGCTTGGATTCATTATATTTATTACATTTCTACATCCGACGACGTTTGGCAGAGATAATTTAATTATAAAATTATTATCAAGTCCAAAATTGGCTTAGTAAAGTTGAAACGGTCCGCAGTTCCGGGGTGAAAATGCTGAAATCAATGAAGAAACCAAAAAGGGGAATTCCGTTCCTATTTAGAATTTCTCAAAAAGGTATATCGAACAATAGGTGTATTTTTAATCAATTATCAAAATGAATGAAATAAAGAACTGCAAAGTAAAAAATTTGTGTGACAAAACAATTGATACGCCAATGCCTATAAAAACTCGATACTAAATAGAGGGACAATGTAAACCCCACTCAGCCACATACTTCATTTATTATATTTGGTAAATTGATTTTTTTCTCCGATTCCACAATGTATTTAAAAACTTTTTATACATAAACAAATAAAAACTTACTTTTTTTTTCGGTGGGTTATAAAGATATGCCTTCAGATTTTTTTCCAGGCTTAAGTAAAAATTTATTGGCTTTACTTGAAGAAGCCGATGATTATAATGTTAGTATTCAAGTAGGAGAGAAACCAAATATCAAAGAATTTCGAGCTCATTCAAACATTTTAAGAACTCGGTCGCCTTATTTTAAAATTGCATTATCAAGTGATTGGGTTAAAAAAGAAAATGATATCATTATATTTACGAAACCAAACATATCCCCTACAGTTTTCGAAATAATTTTAAGGTAATTTAAATTTACTCTGCCGTAATTTGATAAAAATATATATATATATTTATTTTTTTGACTTTTTTTTTTCTTCGTCTCAAAAAGATATGTTTATGCAGGCGTATTGGATTTAGAGAGGGTCATAGGGGAGGATATATTAGATTTATTGGTAGCAGCGGATGAATTGTTGTTGGAAGAATTAATTACATACGCACAAACTTATTTAATACAAAAAAAATCAAGTTGGGTACAACGACATATGATAGAAGTATTACAAACAGGATTTCAACTTGTCTCTTGTAAGAAATTGCAACTATATTGTTTAGAAATAATTTGCGAAAATCCTATACCTTTTTTCGCTTTGAAAAATTTTCCTACTTTGGATAATGACATCTTATATCAATTATTATGTAGGGATGATTTACAAGTTGAAGAAGTGTTGGTCTGGGATTACTTAATCAAATGGGGAAATTATCAATCCAAATTGTTGGAATCGGAGTATGATGATTATCAAAGTCAGAGCGAACAGAGTGAAACGGAAAATCAACAAGATCAACAGAAACGACACCGTCATGTTCATCATCGGAAAAGCAGCTCAACCTCTTCGGTAATGACATCACCCGCAACGTCATTTCCTTTGCGTGAAAAGAACCTTTCCAACGAATTAACTTTAGATACAAACAATTATACGGCAAAGTGGAATGAAAAGAACTTCAAATTTTTAAAACGAGCTCTTTGTAAATTCATTCCATTAATTAGATTTTTAGAGATATCTTGGAGAGATTTTTTCGATAAAGTACGTCCTTATAAATCTATAATTCCACATAAGATATATGAAGATATTATGGCATATCATATGAATCATATGAATGGTGTAGAACCGAAAACGTGCACTCTATTCCCTAGGTTAGGTCATATCCCTATAGATTCAAATATAATTAAACCTATACATGCGGCAATTCTATCAAATTGGATTTATCGTAAAGACACAAAATCATTTGTAACGATCAAGGAATCTCATTTGAATTTTAAATTGCTTTATAGAGGGAGTCGTGATGGGTTTTATAATAAGGAATTTCGTCATAAATGTAATAATCGTGGTCCCTCCGTTGCCATTATAAAATTAAAATCCTCTGGCAAAATCATTGGTGGATATAATCCTTTCGGTTGGCAATGTAATTTTAATACCTGGAAGAAAACCGGTGATTCTTTTATATTCACTTTGGGGGATGGTGAAAATTTTCATAAAATTAAATTGAGTAGAGTCAGTATACCTGTAGCTGCCATTTACGAACATCAAAGCGGTGGGTTGAATTTTGGTGGTGGAGATTTGAATGTGAATGATCGTATTGTCTCTTGTCAAAAAAGTATGCAATCTTATGAACATAGAATTTTAGATATTGATAATTATCTAGCTGATGAATTTGAAGTATTTTCCATCACGACAAATTTCATATAAGCGAATCAATGAAGATGTATGTTACCTTTACGGATTTAATTTATATACGGGAAAAAATCTTGGTTGGATAAAGTAATTATATAGACTTATAAAAATTTTGTACAGGTTGAATTTATAAAAAATTTTTTTTTTTTTTTTACACAAGAATTTTTTAAAAAGAAGAGATGATATATATATTTAATAGAATAAATATATTATCTTCCTTTAGATTCCGTATATCCTATTTCGGGATGCCGGTATTTATTTTTATCTGATGAATTACTTCCTGATTTTCATTTGCATCTAAGATTTTATTAATCACTTTTTTGAAATAACAACCCAGATATTTGGACTCAAAATACTGTTTGGTTACGTTCACTAAGATTATTGCTTTCTATCCGTTTGTGATCTTGAATCATTGGGAAATTAGGAGGCTGGATGCAACGTTCGTTCAAATAAAATCTAATTTATTCGTGATGCAGCAAATATAATTTACAATTGTGAATAAACAACATCATCATCTTAATGAAGTTGGTAAAAGTCAGCCCTATTTTGCAATTTAATAATTTAATAAAATTCGTAAAATACAGAAAACGTAGTTAACGTAGTTATAAGTTTCTTACCATTATTTCATAGTATGACCAAGAGACATCTCTTCAACGTCGGACGACCTTTTTTTTTTTAATCTTTATAAAGTCAGAAATCTACATACCAAGGATTTCGTTTACATTATATTTTTGATTCGTTACTTTGTTAAAAATGTCTTTTTAGTCGATAAATATTTTCAAAAGGATAATATGATTAAATTTAATAAACCTAATGTTAGCCCAAGATTCTGTGGTTAAGCTTTTTTTATTTTTATCTAAACTAAACTATTTATTCTTTTTCAACTAATTAGGTAATTTTTAGACGACAGTCATTTCATCGGCCGACACATCAATGTAATCGAAATTACTTGTGTCTACATAATACAAGCAACGAATTACATATTATTCTTGGAGCTTGATTTCTCGGCGAAAACATTACGTTGACCAAGAAATCCATTTTATCAGTCTTTAATAACCGAAGTCTTATTAAATCTTGAGAGGGATTTCTCGTTCAAAAATTAGGGTATTCGCCCCATTTTGAAATAACAATCATTATAACTCATAAATATTCAAAGGAATAAATACTTAAGGACAGTTTACTCATGTGACAATTTAAAAAGAAGAAAAGATATTTATTTTTTAAATTTTTATGAAAGTGATTACGGGTTCCTTTTCCAATTCATGAAGTTTTGGATTTTTTTTTTTTTTTTTTTTTTTTTTTTTTTTTTTAAAAAAAAAATTTTCCAATTTCCTCTTCAGCTACTAATATCATAAAATGTGTTTGTAATTTACTTCAAAATGTATGTAAAATTATTGCAATATTATGAGAAGGTAATGACGAGTTAAATTATATTTATTTGTTCTTTTTACGTCCATTCGATTTTTTTTCCAAATGATATCTTGAATGTAATAAGTATGGTCATAGTCGGTTAAAAGCTTCAGTCGTTTTTAAGTTTTATCAGTTTGTCTTTGTCATGTTTCCATAAATGTCGCCTGACCAAATTGTCCTTGTTAAAATTTTATATTATATGTATACGATTGATATTTTTTTGAGAATTGGACAAAGTTCATAGAGTTCATGTTCCTTTGAATATACACAACGAAAACCCCCTTTCTTTTATTCCTTTACTTCGCTCACCGCCATTAATTTTTTTATTTCTAATTGACATTTACTGATCTGCATCAATAGATAAACGGTGTAAAGGCGCCGATAAATTTTATTTTTTATTGAATAATTTTTTTACATAATAATTGCTCAATTAAAAACCTTCTGCTAACATTTAATAATAAATATATTAAATACATTTTTTTAATATTTGATAAACTAATTAAGGGGCATATTGAATTTTAGAAAATTTAATATTTTATAGGTAAGGTCATTTACCATTTCATAATTAAAAAGACTTTTTCCCTCACGATCAAAGCAATAAATTATTGAAATTAGCGGTTCATTCTTAAAGTAAAAATCGAACAATTTCAGCATGTGGTCTAGCTCTTAACACTAAAGATGGTCATTCTATTTTCCAATATTTTGGCAATTTGTTTTTAGAAAAATACCAAGGCTACGCACAAAAAAAAAAAAGAGCTAGAAAAAAAAATGTCATAGGATTGGTTAGACGTGAAAATATGGTCAACTCAGTTAGGGTTTCCGTTTGAAATACAAATTTCATTTCAAATATTTAAAATAATTTCGGATATCGAAATTGATTTCAAATATAAAAAAATAAATAAAGTAAAATAAACAAAAAGAATAGATCGAAGAAAAAAAAATATGTATATATCAAAAAAAAAAAAAAAAAAAAAAAAATATTTTAAATTAAAAAAAAAAATAAAATCCTACATTACGTAGCTAAAAAAACCGAAAAGTAAGAAAATAGCATTAAATTTCAGATATTTATTTTATTTTTCTTTCTTTTTTTAAGAATGTTATAGAGTTGTTATTAAATTTAATAAATAAATGCCGCAAAATTAAATGCTATCTTCTTGATTTAAATATTATAATTCAGCTAAAAAAGACAATTTTTATTAGTATGTAAAGACTGAAAATATAAAAATTTAAATAAGAGAGAAATTTTACAAATCAAGTAGAAAAAAATTTTTTTTTTTTTTTTTTTTTTTTTTGTAAAATTGTTGAATTTGAAAAAGTTCAATGTTACCCGAAAATATGCACTTTAAATTATTTACACGTAAGATTAATTAACGATACAATATTACCTGTTAAATTTTGTTAAAACGAAATTTAATTTCGAAATTTTCGACTTTTGCCATCTTAATCATTTATCATTTGATTTTAAATTCAATGTAAATGTTATTCCCAACAGAAAGGCACTTCAAGAAAAAAATGTAAATTATAAGAACAAAATTAGAAACTTTTACAGATTTCATTACTTTGCAATTGACGTTGTTCATATCATCTTCAGATGCGTCAATTACTACGGTTCACTCACAGAACTACAATAAAGTTATTTAATTTTGATATTCTTATCCCAAAATTATTATAATTATTAAATTTATCCAATCAAATTTTAAATTAACCTTTGCGATTGTGGCGCAAGTCCCGTTGGCGTAGCAAATCTAAGGTCGTTACGCTTTTTAAAGCGGGAGGATAGCCCCTCCCCCCGCGGATAATTTTTAAAAGAATCCTACCCGAATTATAATGCTGCCGCAATCAAATTTTTCGATCAAAACATCTTGACCGGACATAGTCTTTTTTCGGCCATTTCCTGTAGAACGACTCTCCTAGGTAAATTTGTACATAACTTCTTGAATAAGTTCTTTAACTCTAACCTTAGCAACATGAGCATGTCTATAGATATTTCTACAGATAAAGACATCTTTAAATTTAAAAATGATCCGTTAAATAAGCTTGATGGGAATATTATTAATGAGCTGCTCGAGGAGTTGACCAAAGAAAAAAATGATGAGCACGATAGGCTAGTAGGAGAATTTTTCAATCATTGTGTTATGAGGTGCAAAGAAAATAAACTCGAAACCATGTATGTGGTCACTGCTTTACTTCCATGCCTCATTTCCGATTCCTACAAGAACCCAATAATCTATCTTAGGAAGCAACTCACCTACGTTAGGTTTCCGTTAGAACATTCAAAAAGACAAAAGTACCCGTCAACTTATGAACCCCTGTGGGGCTATAAGTTTGATTATTACAGGTTTTCGGATCTCGAGAAAGAACAAGATCCAAAATATCAACCTAAACAAATATTGTCCCCATTTGACAGGTTGTATATGCCTTCTTCTTATATCTGATCATGAGATTTCGAACTAATTACGGTCTATGTTACAAATAAGGTTTGAAAAAATCGCTCGGCATTCTGCTACATTATGCTATGTACCACTACCCGGTCTATGCACCTACCCGAAGCGTTCTGGTATCTTCGAAGTCTTGTTTCCTTGTAGCCAAAGTCCATTTGTAAGGCTCACCCTACATCATCCAATCGAATTCCTTCAAGATTCCACAACTAGCTTCGAATTATTTTCGTCTCCACCTTTCCAAGCAATTGTAAAGTTCAAATGGCATGCCTTTGCGAGGTCGCGTTTTATTGTGACTTTTTCGATCTATCTCATTAACTTTGGCCTTTTTACGTTGGCGATTGGTACCAAAGATATGCGAATAATGAAAACTAGCATGACATTTGGGTCAATTTTTCTAACTCTCAATCTGATCCGGCTTGTTTTGATATTTGTGGCGAATGGTACCATCTTCAAATATCTTTTATCTCCTACAGCCTACTTTGCATTCTTGATATGTTTCCTTCCTTTTTTTACTGGGCTTATAGAGGTTTACAGCCTCTTGGAACATGAAGATCCCGCATACTCTATTCTTCGATTCTGCTCAATCCTTCTCTTATGGTTGGGTTTCATTTCATTATTGTGTCTCTTCCAGAGTATCGGAGTAATGCTAATCGGTGAGAAACATTCAGAAAGTATGATTATCCAAAGTTGGACGAATCCATTAACAACCTCTTTATCAATAACAAAGTCGTCATGCAGATTTGCAGGAGGATTTTGATGCTGCTTTTCTTTTTAGCTTTGATTTTATTCGCTTGCGCACATGCAGCAATAGTGTATTTCTCATTTACCCCACCAACTAATGGTGGTGAAAGTACATTTAAGGGATTTGATCAATCACTTAAAAATTTTTGGTCCGGGCTTTTAGCTTCTTATGATTTTTTTGAACCTTGGGAAAATAATCATTTTGTGGATATAATGAAGATCGTCTATTCATTCTTTGCAAACATCGTAATCATGAATATTCTAAGTATGACGTCCAAAATACAACTTTTTTTTTTTTTCCTTTTAACGGATTCCTTTCTAACATCTTCTTTCCTTAAAAGTTGCACTTGTAAATAATGTTTATCAAGATGTGCATGAACTTTCTTATGCTAGATGGACCATGATGAGAGCACATATAATTAGTTACATGGAGCTCTTAATGTTGTTGCCATCAGAGCGTCAAAATGAGTATGTTCAATGGCTTCACTTGATCCTGGTTATAAGTTAATTCGATGACCATGACCACCGGTTAAAGCTAACCTGACACATTACATTGCTTGATTACAATGACAGAGAATATTTCCCTTACACCATTACTTACGAGGCATTCACTAAAGAAGTTGAAGATTGGAACACCAAACTCGAGGCGAAAAAGGACCAGACATGGGATGTTCCTCTTTCTAAGAAGATCCAGGATTGTCTGGATAAGTTAGAGAATCAATTATCAAAGCCATAGAACCCGAAACTATTCCACTCTGACGTACGGTACTTCAATGATTCCGTTGCTTGATAAATGCCGGGCAAATTTTCCATTATATTTAATTTAATAAATTATTTAATAAAATTATAGGACATATATATATTTTTTTATTTGTAAAAATGACTTCTTTTAATTTTTTTTTTTTAATTAATTAATAACACTTTAAGAAAATAATTAAAATAGCATTACATTCAACAATTTAGTATTAAGGGTTTGAATCATCTATTATTGAAGTCGTTATTAAATAATTAAATATTATATGCCTGATAAATGACTACTGAGTGAAACATGACAAACATTTTGGGAGAAAATCCGACTTTTAAACTTTATGACGTACTGTATAGTATCAGTCGTATTCTTATTGGTCCTTGCTCGAAGTAAATGATGAGTCAGAAAATCAGATTCCAGTTATCATTACTTTAAAACACCTGAAACATCGACAGAATATAAATATGCGACATCATTAAAGTTTCTCGCAAAGGAAATAATAAAATTATTCTGTTATAAACTTTTTTTATTTACATATTCATTTTTTTTGACAGGTTTGCGTTTTTGGTTGATAAAATGGTTCTCTTTGTAAGTTCATTAAATAAATTTATTATTTTGAATCTATTAAAAAAAAAATCGTTGACAAAAATCATCTCTCTTATTTACAGTTTGAATAAAATTTCCATTCCGATCCGTTATGAGTATTGCAGAGGCAGAAATAGAAAATTTAGCAAATTAACTTAAATTCTGTTAAATTCCTTGTTAAGATTTACTCTACCTTACCTCCTACAATGACGAGTTGCGCTTCAAAAATTTTCCTTAACATTTCCTAGTGAATTGAATATTTGAATTAAATTTATGGTAAATTCAAATGTACGACAAATATTTTTTGGAGAACTAAACCTTACGAGAAGAGTTCAAAAGCTTGAATTTCTTCTGAAAACCCTGCAGTTAGTTATAGTTCAAGAATATAAGTTTGATTACTTTGGGTAATCACAACAAACATGGATCGTCGTTCGCCTATCATTAGCGTTAATGTGAAATACGATCAAAGATAAGCCATATTTAGAATTTCGGCAAGGAATTTATCTAAATTCTACTACCAACAAGTTATCTTGCAATGAATTTTATCAAGTGAATTCGCTAAAATGATAGTTAATAGATCAGAACATTCCTCCGTTATTACTGTTCATAACTATGGATATTTCAGGGAATTATTCTCATCATCGAAGGGATTTATTATTGACGGATCGGGTGGAATGGATCTAACTAAGCCGATTCAATCTTTATAGATGTTGTTTATTCAACCGGAGCTTTTTTTAGAACAATGTAAATGCATTACTTCTTAAATCAATATCTTAATGAGAAGGACAGGGATTTCATATGCTACATTGCATGGAGCTATCATTTAGATGACCGAGTCCAATCTTTTAATGGAAGGTAACCATGTTTAGATAATTCAAAAAATTGTACCTGATGCCCATAAAGAGTTTGTTTCTGATTGCTGAATTAATTATAATGCAATTTGAGTTAATAGTTCATTCAGTGATCTAATTAATGCATTAGTACCACGAACATTTTTTTCTTTTTATATATAAAATAGATGACTTGCTAACAAAATTCATTTTTGTGAAGACATGAAGAAATTTAAAAGTGAATTTCGAAATTTGTTTATTGTAAGTTTTCAATACTTATCTCGATCCTTTAATTTTACTTTTATTACGGCTAAATACATTGTCAAATAATATAATAATGAATAATGGGATAGGCTGATTGAATAATAAAATATTTTAAAAGATATAAACATATGATCACATTTTGTGTAATTTCTGTAAATGAAGCGCGCTAAAAGTCCGGATAAAATATTTGTCTAGTACAAAAACCGGACATAACACAATGAATCGAAAGATCGGGTTAAAAGAAATCATAAAATTTTGATCTTTATTAAAACTCACTTGATATTTCTATTAAATCTTTTGTTGGTCCTAATTAACAAAAAATACCCACGTATACTTATCACATCAAATAAATAATAAAATTATGAGCCACATAAAAAATACTACTCGCTCATCAATATTAAATACACTTTCGCAAAACTTCCGTCTCTAAAACCTAATTCGTGGTTGACACCTGGCAATCTTTAAACAAAGGTACGAATAGTTTGGTGTGTTGCTGTACTCTTTATTTACCTGGAGTATATAATCATACAATTAAATCAAAAAAGAAGAAAAAAAAGAAAATTACAATTAAAATTAAAATTAAAATTAATAAATATTGCTAATGTACCTCCGTTGGTTTGTCAGAAGAGCCTTAGAATTTTGATCATCATGTGAAGTAGCATTATCAATAATTGAAAATTTATTAATAGTTTGAAGGTTGATTTAATATAGGTGCATAAATTACCTACAAAAAAGACAGAGAAACCTAAAAAAGATACCATCTCTAAATTTCGCTGCTATCTTTCTTTAACTTGCTCTTGAAATTCGTGAAGTATGTTAATGAGCCACTTCAAAAAAATGCATTAAATACATTTATGTCTGAAATTTACTTACTTTTGACTACCAGTTGTCTTCCCAGAGAAGAATCAATTAATATTCCAAGCTGAATGTATCATGGTTCTATTTATTGCGCGCATTAATTACTTTGCAGAGTTGTCTTCGATTTTAACGATTAATGAACTAGATTACACAGTGTCATTGAAATACATGTATCTTTAGGTTGGATTAACTTCTAAAAAATGATATTATAGAAGAATCCTCTTTGATAATTGAATCATTGAGCCATATTTGGACGTTGTACAACGTTAATACGAGAAATTCCAATAAACAATTTGGAAATGATGACAACAATGTTGATGGTGTTGAAATTCATTAATGGTTTTGGGTAATGAGCTAAAGTATTTTCAAATAGGTGTCAGAATGAGCGAAATTAGTATAAATGTAATGTCTAAAAAAAATATATATATTAATTACTCATACTTTATGTTATAACCGCGACCATGTTAGTTCTTCAATAGGTAAAGATATAATAATTTTATTGTCTAAGGCAGAACTTTCAAAACTTGCATTTATTTACGTTAAAACTTGTTGCGATAAGTACACGAAAAGACCATTCCTTCTTTTCATACTTCCAATAAGTGTACTTATAATAAGTATGATCTTTTTACTGGATTCTACTATGTTTAGTTAGTGGTGAGTTATTTGAAGGAGACTCGGCATGTTGGACCTTTTTTTTATAAACTCGCCTCTAAAATATCAAAATTCTAAAATTGAAAAGCCATGTTGAGTTTATAAAAAATCTTTGTTGTAAAAAAAAGGTAGAACTAAGGTTGCTTGTCTAAACTCATTTTGGATTTGGCAAAACGACTAAACTATAGTTTCGCTAATTTTTTACTAAGGTTTTGATATAGTTTCGCATTTTTATAAGCTTTGATATAGTTTTACCTTTTCCAGAATTTCGCAGATTTTTTAAATCACGTTTTAATATAATTTTGCTAAATTTTACCTTTTTCCATTTAGACAACTTGCAAAACCTCTAGGTTTCATCTAGCAATCTTAGGTAGAACTTTTAAGAAATTGTCAGATCATCTGGAATGAATGAATAATAAAAAAAAAATTGATATTTGGTAGACAGTACTTGAACATAAGGCATATGTGACAAGCATCATTATCACTATACCAATTCATCTTTAATGTTAAATTACATAAAAAATTAAATAATTTAAACTAGATTGCATAAAATATGATTAATTAATAAACATAGCATTACCCGTAAAAAATGGTAGCCAGATTTACTACTGGTTATACATAATTTTAGATCACCTGAGATGAATGAATAATAAAAAAAATTTGAGATTTGATAAAACAGTACTTGAATACAAGCGTTATTACCACTTCACCAATTTATCTTTATTGTTAAATTACATAAATTAAATAATTTAAACTAGATTGCATGAAAAATGTGATTAATGACTATGTAACGGTGTGAATATTTTTTTTCTCATATTTTAATGATAAGGTTATTTTTAGATTTATCTCGTATAATACAAATTTTTTAAGAATTTTCATTAAAATACATAAATTGACTTTATGCAGAAAAAAGTACTTCAAAGGCTTTTTTTTAAAAATTTTCAAAAAAACATGCCTAAACGAGAAAACCATAAAATATTATTAAATAGAAAATGCTAAGCGGTTACTTGCTTTTGCTAACAATAATAACAATACCAACTAGATATTGAAACTGGTTAAAGAAAATCTTAACTGATTCCAACTTCTTACTCAATGACAATGACAGTAACAAGTAATAATCAACAGTAATAGCACCAGCATCCTCTAGAGTATGACTCAAATAGAATTAGCATATTAAGTTGCAAAAAAAAGAATTAACCTGCATTTAGAATAAAGGTAATTAGACTAAGTGGCCATTGAGCATGAAGAATTGAGTATGCATTATAAGAGTATTTCAAAAATTTGTTATTACTATTATTTCTTTTATTTTTGCAATTTTTTTAAAAATAACAAATAAGAAAACTAAAGAGAAGAATTTTTTTAACCATTCTAATCTCTAATACTAACAACACTAGTAATCTCTAGCATATAAGCCTTTGCTGACTCAAATAGAATCAGCATATCAAAATGCCAAAAGAATAATTAATGACTTATATTCAAAATGAAGACAACTAGAAATTGTAACCTTTAAGCAAAAAGAATCAAATATGCATTTAAAGATGTTTAAAATATTTTTATTACTTTTATATTTTATTCTAATAATTTTTTTTAGGAAAAATAATATGATGATTAAGTAGAAGATACTTTAACTAGTTTCAATCTCTAACTCTAATAATACTAACAACCAGCAGCTTCTGCTTAATGTTTCTTTGCTGACTTCATGTAAATTAGTATATAGAGATACTATAAGAAAAATCAGTGAGATATAATATTAAGAAAGTTTTTATAGGACATCTATAGCCCTTAAACAAGCAGAATAAGTATAAATTATAAGGATATTTTAAAAATTTGTTATTACTATGATATCTCTTATTCTTACAATTTTTTTTAAGAGAAGAAATAAGAAGAATATAAAGAAGAAGAAATCAAAATTAATAAAGGGTATCTGAACTGCCATTAGTTTTTTTAAAAAAAATGCAATGTTTAGAATGTTGCCAGTAAATCATATTTTCTATAATTTGATTTTACTAGCAACGCTCCTATTTGTTAATGATTTTAGATTTCAAATTTATAAGAGATGTTATTTAATGCTTATCAACTTTTATTAATATTATTACAAATAAGAATGTTAATTAGTTCTAAATGATATTAAAACAAATTTAAATTTTCTATAATTTTGCATAACATGCACTGTATTTTCATCATTTTTGTGACTTTATATTGTTTTTACCATTTAAAAAATCCTATTTTTATTTACAAAATAAATACAGTATTGAAGAGATTTTTGAAGGATTCTAATTATCAAATTCTATTTAGTTTAGAAAATGTAATAACTGAATTAGCAATTTTTGTAGAAATTTTGTAAAGGGTGTTTTGGATTTAAATCAATATTTGTAAGAATAAAAAAAGAATTCTTACAAATTTATTAAGAATAGCATTAATCTCAATAATTAAAGAATTTTTGATGATAAAAGCAGTTTACTTTTAGAAAATGTTAAATTTCTTATATTTATAATAATCAATAAAATTGAAATTTTTATATTTTTACTATATAAATTTTTATTTGCATATTTTGCATTTTTGTCAATTTAAAATGCATATTTTTATTTTGTATTACACGAACCCTTAGTTCTAAAAATGTATTTATTAAATTTATACATATCTTATTCTTATAAAATAATTGAATTCTTATACTTTGATTTGTTTCTCTTTGAATCCTAACTGCAAATATTTATTTATTCAAAATCACAAAAAAAATATTTAAAAATTTATTTATATAAATAAATATTTTAATTTAACAAGAGTAAAATAAGATATGTCTTATTTTTTTTTATTATAAATTTTTAATATTTTTATAATTTAAATGGGTTAATAAATAAAGTATTATAATTTAGAAATAAAAAAAAATAAATAACAAACTTTTTTAAAACTTTTATTAAATTGTTTGTTAGAATTCTTATCATAAGATTTTGTAAATGACATATGATCATAATGTGATTTTAATAGCAAATAAATAATTATAAAGGGAATGTCATGTCCTTCTATTACTATACATTAAGCTTTGCTCTAACTTTATTCCTGCAAACTTTTGATAGTACTGACATAGAAAATGATGTCTGAATAAGTAATTAGTTTTCAATTATTTGATGTTTTGCAAAGGCCCACTTTGAATGCTTTTGGAGATATTATATACGAGCTAAATTATAAAAGAACTAATATTGGTAAAACTCTTAAACCATTGATGATTACTTGTAGTTCTTGCATCAGAATTTTCTTTACTACTAAAAGATATAAGATTATGAGAATTAATTTGTGAAACTTCATTGAATTTTCAGTAAATGCTTGTGAGTAAATATAAACATTTACAACACACTCTATTGTGACAAAATTCCTCTTTTTAAACACCAAAATCTACTTTAGGAGAATTATACTACACTATATTCTCAAGTTGATAACAATCAATCATAACAGGTGCATTATTATTGAATTATTAATATAAATTAAGATAAAAATTCGTAAAAAATTACTTGCTTAAATTTTTATAATTTAACATAGAATTTCATTCACCACATTTCCCATTGTTATTTAAACATATCCTTGATCTCAAAAATTGGTTTGAAAAACTTTGTGTTGAAATCTCATCTTAATTGTAAGAGTACATTTTGATTAATCGTCAAATCTGCATTGGCAAGATCAAATGTTTCTCCTGATTTTTATTTTTAATATGTCAATTTGACAATAATATTACATCTTACATTTGGAAGGTTTTCTTTATCTCAATCAAACTTCTTTATACCTTCATTTGATCATTCTTCAGAACAGGACTTTTAAAATCCGGTTTCCTATCATTATTGATTCTATTTCCACAGCTTTTAGTTATCAGCTTCAATATTGGAAACAATCTCATTATTACTTTTAAAAACCACTTTTTAAAAGAATTATTATTATAGCTGCTGTTGATATCAATATCAAAAGAGATGGAATGTGAGTGTTGAAACGTTCAACAATATTTCTGTAAAGGTAACCTATAATTATAAAAACTAAATATATATGATTATTTGTGGCTTATATGCAAAATGATATACAATGTTCAAGTTCGGATAGGTAATCTTTTCACACCGCTGACGTGCTTTCGAATCATCTATAAATCGACATTAAGCATATGAATATATGTCGGAAAAAGAACAAATATTCGATCTTCTGAGAAGAATAAGTGGCTATAAGGGAATTGGAGTCGACAGACTTGTGCTGTTTTCATTTGTTGTTTTTGATCTAAGAGAACCAATGATAAAATTTCGTTAGCAAAGGATTCCATATGAGAAGCATAATTGCGAATATACACGAAATGCAAGGTCAATTGAAATTTCAATTCAACAACCTGTATATATAATGGTTAGGAAAGAATAAAAAATGAATATGCTCATCACCTTGAAAAAGATCCAACTTATGCAGCTACTGGACAATTCCATCTTCCAAAATTTTATTATTTTTTGACGACCTTTCTTAATAAGTCTCCTTTGTTTCAAAGTATCGGAAAAAATGATAACAAATGGGTATCTAGAAATCTTCAGGTATTAGCAAATATTTGTTGAGTAAAACAATTGATCGAATGTCACTACATCAAGATTGCAGAGAATAACCTTAATCCCATTTTTGAAAACGTCGAAAACTGTCGGTTACGATGGGATTCGACGAGTTTGACTATACGTTTCAACGGTTTCGACATGTTTTCACTTTTGATGCTTGTCGAAACCTCTGCTTTGCCGGCAAACTTACACCAAAATATGTAAGTATATTGTAATCTGATTTCCAACAAAAAATAATATCTTGGTCAAATTCTAATTTGATCTGCTGCTGCATACTTTGGACTTATGGTTTCAGTTAACATTTTTCACGAATTTTTAAACAATTTTGATCTATCTTTGAGGTCCTTGTTTTCACTTGGAAAGAATGACAACTAACGAGATCCACATGTCCATAAAGATAACAATTGACTGATCCATTTCGTGAAGAACCATTTCTATGATTCAATAGATTTATTGCATCATTTCCATGAGAAACTTGGTTTTCTACTTTATGACTTTTAATAAAATTTGATCACCAAAGTTCTTTACAGCGAAAAACTCGAAATTCCAAATTTTGTCGATTTCACATTTCTTTTATTAAGTGAATTTTTTAAATGATTTCCTTTTGTAACAGTGAAAGAGATTTCATTGTCTGTGAAATTATTTTGACGCACGTTACCAATATTTCAATCATATAAAAGAGGTATTAAATCTTGAATCAGGATGAATTCAGCACGTGTATTGAAAATTTGTATTTGTGCACTCAGAATCAAGTTTCCGCTACATTTATAGTCGAAAACAATAGGAATTCATATTTATACCTAACAACGAAAGTGGAACTACAGTGAAATTATGAGAATGCTTGTCTAGCAATAGGAAAACGTGTTGACTAGAAACGTAATAAATGATCCAAACGATAGTTAGAAATGAATTAAAAACGCATAGTACAAATTTACCGGAAATAAATACTGTAATTATTATAAGAATTTGCTACTGTTATCTCAATTAGATGGATTATTAGTTTAATTTTTGTAATACATGATCTATTTAAACGAAACGTAATCAACTTTTTATCACGGTTATGAATCATTCGCCGATTCCCGGCGGATATATTGTAGAAGTGTCGTACTCTATTTAGTAAATGATTGCCATAAATTATCAATTTTTTCGAATTTTTCTTTTTTATGAAATTTGTTCTTTGATTCCTTTTTTATAAAGCATCAAAATGTTTCGCAATATTCAAAAGAACGTAATAAATTCAACTTCCATTTTTTTAAAGGATAAGAGAATGACTTCAAGCATTATTATCAGACTCTCATCAACGTTAAAAGATATTGGAAATCATAATGCAATGATTCAAGTCGGAAAAAATCCAGATGCTAAAGTATTTCCTGCTCATTTATCAGTTCTAAGAGCTTGCTCACCTTATTTCGAAAATCCACCACCAATTTATACTGTCGAGAAGAATAATATATTTTTGTTAATCAAGGAACCAAACATTAATCCTACCACTTTTGACCTAATCCACAAGTATGCAATATGAGATTTATGACTTTGTAAAATCACTTTCATTTAATTAACTAAGTTTGACTTCCTTTTTTGTTCCTTTGTAATAAGATATATTTATACCGATAATTTGGATTTAACCAAACTTTCAGGAACAGAAATTCTTAGACTTTTAGACGCGTCTCACGAATTACAATTCAAGAGATTAATTAATCACGTTCAAGTTTATTTAATTAACCAACGGTCGGACTGGATTAAACAAAATCTCGCTGTTGTTATTCATAAAGCCTTTAAAATTGCTATCTGTAAGCAACTTCAGGATCACTGTATTGAAATTATTTGCGAAGATCCTTCACCATTTATTACCTCGATGGATTTTCTATCGTTGGATAAAGATATTCTTTATGTCTTGCTTAAACGAGTTGATCTGCAGATCGAAGAAACAGTTCTTTGGGATTATTTAATTAAATGGGGTATCAAACAAACCCCTGATCTAAAAGATGATGAAACTAATTGGGATGACGAAGATTATGAAGCATTGAAGAAGACCTTAGATAAATTTATCCCATTCATTAGATATTCAGGTATTGATTCCGCGGATTTTTTTGAAAAAGTTCGTCAGTATAAGCCAATTTTTTCCAAATATCTTTATGAAAAAGTTTTGGAATTCTACATGAAAGGTTCTATTCAAAAATCAATTATTTTATCTCCACGATTTGGAAAATTACAAATGGAATCGAAGATTATCAAGCCAAGACTTATTCCTATAATTATTAACTGGATCGAAGGTCATGATGGTGTAATAGATGAAAATGGTGAAAATGATTATTTATATAAGAAAAAGAAGTACGAGTTCAAACTTCTTCTCCGTGCTGATAGTTACAATTCCTTATACGCCAAACATTTTCATGATTTATGTATTAAGCAAGCAACTTTGTTGCTTGTCAGTTTTCTTAATTCATCAAAAATTTATGGAGGATATAGAACAAATAAGTCTAAATACAGTGGATTATCCCTTTTTAAGGGTGATTGCTTTATCTTTTCCTTAGAAAACGATGAAGATACTAGAAATATGAAAATGACTAGAATTTTTTATAACCACTTTGATGATCATATGAACTTTTGTTATAAAGATGTTAATGACAAAGTTGTAAAACTTACAAATTTCAGTCCGTCAAAAGTTGAATTTTTTGAAGTAATCTCATAGATTATTTTATGAAAATAATAACGTTATACTTTCTCTTTTGTTATTATTCAGCTTTGTCATGATGTCGATTGCTGATTTTAATATAATAAAAATAAAGCATCATGTGCAATTCTTCGCATGAATTTTCCAATTTTATTTCTATTACATAGAAATTTGAGTTACTGTGTAATTTCACAAAAATTAACTGAATTAATAATGAATGATATGGCGCTATTGAATCTGATAATAATGTCATTAAACATTTTCGTTACAAGATAAAAAAATCCTTTCGAATATAAACTTTTACATTAGTAAACCATCAGCTATATACAGTTGAGCTTAAATATTAATTGCCTCAAACTTTCCAATCTGTCGATATGAATAAATACAAACTTTCAAAAAAAAAAAAAAAATTAAAATTAAAGAAATATATGGATAGGTTTCCATTTGTAAAGATCCACCAATGTATCACTCGCTTTGCTAACTATGTTCTCATAAAAAATGTCAATTCTTATGAGAAGAGAGATAATGATTTACCACTTCCCATCCGAGAGAAAGATTACAACGTTCAACCTTATGCAAATAATTAAATTTTAAAGATTATAGTTCGTTACACACGTTTGCAATTCTATTCTACTGTAGGAGAAGTTATTCGACCTCTTTTATATATTCTTTTAAAGTTAATTATGAGATTTATTTCTATCAGAATCAAAATATAAATCAACATTAGTGGATAATTCTATATTAATAATTAACTTCATAGTTACAATCCTTATATAAAAGGAATTTAGGACTAAAATTTAATAATAGAATAAAACAAAGCTTCAACTAACTAAAAAAAATTTTTTGAACAGTATATTAATTAATTAATTGCTTTTGTTTAAAAATTTGAAAAGAACAGCTTATAAAATACTTAAATATATCCTGAGTCACGTGACTATCGTGCTGAGAAAAAAAAAAAAATATTTATATACGTATTAAATTTGTAGATCCTTAACGTTATATTTATTTTCTTTATTATATTCTTATCTATCTATGTATATAGTAAAGTTAGATTAGAAGTTTTGTATAAATAGTTTTGTAGTTTAACTTGATTTTCGACAGAGTTTTTAGAGTTTTTCAGATTGTGAATAGAATTATAACTCGATAGTTTAATAATAAAATTCTTATTTAAACTTTCAAAACTTCTTCGTATCTTCATCAAATGTTTTGATCGTGATACTTAACTACACAAGTAAATCGTAATAAATAAATTGTAGTATAATCTCTTAATATGGGCCTTAAATGTCTTATTTGGGAGCGAAAATGTCCACTTTGCTTTTGCTTTTTACATCAATTAAAATTAATAATAAAAAGCGTTTAAATTTTAAAAAAAAAATTTTTACCCGGTCCGGATATTACTTGTTATATATGATAAAATGATAAATGGGTATTTGGGTATTTGGGTATGATTCCGGATTCTGAAATACTGACGAGTCGCAGTTCTAGCATTGAAAGAGAATTTAGTGCGTTACACAGTTTAAAACACATAATTAAAAAAATTTTTTTATTTTTGAATTATTTTTTTATTTTCTAATTTTCTAATTTAGAAAATGCTATTTCGTTTTATGTGCTAATTGCTATCTTTAATGTGTATTTGTGAATAAATTGTATTTTATATTTAATTTCTACATTTAAAAATAAAAGTTCACTCAGAAAAAAAATGAGAAAAAATCAAATAAATAATGCATCTGCATCTTAATTTTGTGTAACATTATATATATTTTTAATTTGAGTAACATGACCAATATTCTTTTTTTTTTTACAAAAGATTAGTTTTAATATAAACATTAAATTGTTTAAAGAAGTAAGTTTAAGTTATTGTAATCTGTAAAAATTAATCATGCAATTTTACATTTATTTACCGGCTCACTATATTTATTTTAGCGTGTTTGCTGCTTATATGATAAAATGCATATTTCAATTATTTATTTTCGTGTACAACTTTTTCGGCACAATTTAATAAATAATTAAAGTTTCATGACTTTTGTTTCGAACTATGTTGAAAGTAATCTAAAATAGTCATTAATGATTTAATTAAAGATCATTATATATGTTAATGAAACCAATTCCGTAGTAATAAATTTTATTAATATGAATTAATATGACAAAGTGATATATATCTTTACCTTTACGTTAACATTTTTTATGAGAGAATGAATAAAAAGATTGTTTCCTCAAAAATTTTCTTGCGACATAAATTATTTCTAGGTTAATAACGAAGATTTAAAGCAAATCAACCAGAAATAACAATCTTGCAATTTTTTTTTTGTATTTTTGTTTGATATTGGTCAGACTATTAAATATTAGTTGCGCTTAATTGTGCATAAATATGAACCAATATGGATGATCTAAATTTGAGATCAAAATTTTTATTGGTCCACTTGACTGATCACAGTCCAGTCGTAGCACACAACACACTCAAATTAGTTATATAAATTCCTTTTTTAAAGCGCTCTCCCATATAAAAAAAAAAAATAAAATAAAGGAAAAAAATGTCTAATAACCTTGAAAAATCAAATGTTTATATCGAATGGTTAGAAAAATCGATTTCTGACGAATATCTCAGTCATTATGAATATTCGGATTTCAAAAATTTACAACCAATAGGAAATGGTTTATTTGGAAATGTTGTGCGTGCTAATTGGAAAAATCCGGATCGCTATTTTGCTTTGAAATCTTTTAATAATGATAATATAACTCTGAAAGAAGTTGTAAATGAGATACAGAATTTATAAATATTTAAAAGGTTTTATTAAGAATAATAAAATTAAATTAATTCTTTATATAGATAAAATTACATAATAGGGTTGATTTTCATCCAAATATTCTGCGATTTTATGGTATCACAAAGGAAGGAACTGGTAAATATTAGGAATTTACCATCATAAGAATTTTAATAAATTATTAAATATTCTTTATTTTACGAATAGCAAACTCCGACCATCAAATAAACAAGTACTCTTTGGTTTTAGAATATGCTGATAGCGGTACACTAAATGCTTATTTAAATAAACATTTCAGTGAACTTGATTGGAATGACAAATATCAACTAGCTTTACAATTGGCAAGTGCAGTAGAATGTATACACGATTGTGATATTGTTCATTGCGATCTGGTAAAATTAATTTTTTTTATAAAAATCATTTATTAATTTATTTTATCGACTTTGAATAATTAAATATTTTGTTCTTTAAACGATAGCATGCTGATAATATACTTGTAAATCAGAAAATTATTAAATTGGCAGATTTTGGTATATCCAAAAAAATTGAAGAGTCAAAAAATGCATCAAAAGTATTTGGTATATTACCTTATATCGATCCAAAAAATTTAGATAGAAATAATAAGGATTACAAATTAAATAAAAAATCCGATGTCTATAGTGTAGGATACTTGATGTGGCAAATTTCAAGTGGATACCAACCATTTAAAGGAGTTAATTATGATGAATGTTTAATTCTGTCTATATTAAATGGAATGAGAGAAAAAATTATCAATGAAACACCACCCGAATATAGTAATCTATATCAAGGTAATTAATACAAATTATCATTTTACATTTATAAATGCCAATGTTTTCTAATCCTTATTTACTAAATTAGAATGTTGGAAATACGAAATTGATGAACGTCCTGATATACAAAAAATCGTTTCAACTCTTAAAACAATTATTTCTCTTGAACATTGTGAAATATTTCATGCAAAACTTATTGAAGAAGTAGATTTGCAGAGAAACGGTACATCTAGTTATATATCAAGTAAAGAACGAGATGATGATTTAGAGAATTTAGAATTTCCTGAAGATATTAATTATTATATTGATGAAAGTTCAAGTTTACATAGCAGAATATCTTTTCAACCAAGTATATCGGACAATAATTCATTAATTAATTCGTCAATAGAAGATAAATCTAGTTTGAAATCAAGAGATGATGATTTAGAGAATTTGGAAGTATCTGAAGATGCTAATAATAATAGTAATAATAGTCAAAGAAATTCAGGTGTAAGTCAAAAAACTTTTCAATCAAACACATTGGATTTTAAAGATAAATTATTAAGTTCAATCTTTATTAAAAGATCTTCAAAAAATTCAATTGACTCAATATTTATTAATAATATAACTATTGATATTTTAATTAAACGTGTAATTAAAAATCTTAATGAAGGAATTAATTTTGATCAAATTGGCTTTTTTATTAAGCAAAAATTATCAAGGTTAAAACAAATAGAAAATATTTTAGAATGGTTAAGAAAGCAGCAAAGCTTCCAATATGTTTGGTTTCTTGGATTATTTTATTATTATCATATTGGTATAAATGAAAATGATGGCGCTAAAGCATATGATTTATTTTTAAAAGCAGCAAAAGAAAATTATTCAATTTCACAAGTTTATCTCGCTAAGTGTTATTATAATGGATATGGAATTGAGTGTGATAACAAGCTGTCATTTAATTGGTATCAAAGTTCTGTAGAAAATGGAAGTATAATTGGACAATTTTATTTAGGATATTGCTATGAATATGGTATTGGAACTCTGCAAAATAAAAAGAAAGCCGTTTATTGGTATTATACAGCAGCCTGTAATGGAAATATAAATGCAAAATGTTATTTAGCAGATTGCTTTAGACTAGGAAAAGGTGTTGAAAAAGATGTTAGTAAAGCTTTTAAATTTTATGAAAAATTAGCAGAAGAAAGAATTTCTGATGCTCAATATCAACTTGGAAATTGCTTTTTTAATGGAATCGGGACAGAAGTAGATAAAAATAAAGCTTTATATTGGTATAATAAAGCATCCGAAAATGGAAATATTATCGCGAAGGATATTTTAAAAAAGGATAATTTAATAATAAATATAAAAGTAAAAGAAATTAAATATTTCTTTGAAAATAATTACTTTGAAATTGCAACAAAAAATAATTATAAGAAAGCATTTAATTATTTTCAAAAAGCAGCGGAAAACAAGAATGTAGACGCACAAATTAATCTTGGAAATTTATATTATAATGGAGAAGGAACAGTAAAACATTTAGAAAAGGCCTTTTATTGGTATCAAAAGGCTGCTGAAAATAATGATGCTGTTGCTCAAAATAATCTTGCATTTTCATTTAAAAATGGTAAAGGAACAGAAAAAAATTTAGAGAAGGCCTTCTATTGGTGTCAAAAAGCTGCTGAAAATAATCATATAACTGCACAATATAATCTTGCAATTTCTTATGAGAATGGTGAAGGAACTAGAGAAGGCCTTTTATTGGTATCAAAAAGCTGCTAAAAATAATGATGCTGTTGCTCAAAATAATCTTGCTATGTCTTATGCAAATGGTGAAGGAACAGAAAAAAATTTAGAAAAGGCCTTTTATTGGTGTCAAAAAGCTGCTGAAAATAATAACGCTATTGCTCAAAAAAATCTTGCAATTTCTTATGAGAATGGTGAAGGTACAGAAAAAAATTTAGAAAAGGCCTTTTATTGGTATCAAAAAGCTGCTAAAAATAATGATGCTGTTGCTCAAAATGATCTTGCAATTTCTTATGAGAATGGCGTAGGAACAAAAAAGAATTTAGAAAAGGCCTTTTATTGGTATCAAATAGCTGCTGAGAATGGAAATATTCTAGCACAAACTAATCTT